GTCGGTTAATAGCCGTTTTTATTTTGTCTACGAAGCGTTACATTTTTTTTTTTTAATTTTTCATCTAGAACGGTCTTTGACAGCCCCATAAAGCCTTTGGCTTCAAATCCAGGAAGGGTACATTTCGTAAGTTTTTCTATTAGAAGAAAGGAGGGGGGGGGGGGGGGAGGTTTGGTTTGCTAGAAGACACCACAGGCCAAAGTCGAAGTGGTGAACAGTACAGTCGGGACATAGTCTCCTTTATACTGGTCAGGGAGACATTCATAAATACCTCAGTTCTTTGTTTCCAAAGCTTACACTTCTTTAGAGCTCGTGACTGTGCAGGCAAGCCCGGAAGTCTTGATCACAAAAAGCAACAAAATACTCCGCAAAAAAAAAAAAAAAAAAAAAAAAATGGAGAAAAAATAATCGGGCATATGTTCATTATTATATAAAAATAGTCCAAACGCGCCTGAGATACTTGGTACTACAAATCAACGACTTTCGCGAGCGGTTGCACCTCCTCCCTTAGTAAATTTTCCTGTCAGGGAAACAGATCTGCTTCCGTCAAAGTCGGAACAAAGGGTTCTGACTGCAATTGACAATCAGAATCACGATACAATATATAGTTTGATTAGAAAAAGAGCTGATCGATGTCGAAGATAAATTTTGTAAATATGGAGGTGATCCTTTACTACAATCTGGTTTCAAGTCTCGCGGGTTAGCTCCCAAAGTTAGTTCTTCGGTTTATTTCACCTTTCCGTGGCTGAAGTGACGCTTCCCAGTGCACATACGCCTCTTTGTAAGAGTGAAAGCCAGTTTGACAGTGAGCATCAAATTTACGCCGAGTGTGTGTGGTGTATATATATATATATTTATATATATATATATATATATATATATATATATATATATATATATATATATATATATATATATATATATATATTTTTTTTTTTTAATAATGTGGATGTTTTAAATTCAGGATATGGAGCTAATGATGGCGTTCCGACGTAAAATGGCCGGCAACACGGCAACCTCGTTCCAGGTCATCAGGCGTTTGTGCAAAACCATGCCCACACTCATCAGGAACTATGTGAGTTAACCAATCTGCTGAGCCGATTAACGTTCTCGCACATCGCCTACAACATAAGTTAAAACCGCTCCAGTCACATGTGAGCCAAGACTGAACGATTTGGGCCCGATTCCTAACGCGTTCAGCCGAATTCGGCGGTTTCTCTCGTAAAATCATATGCACCGCTGGCTATAAACGTAATGACATTAAAGTTTTTTTTTTTTGTTTTTTAAAGGGGTTTAAATTTTTTGTCTATAATAAAAAAGTCACAATAATAAACACAATTGTGTTTCATCAAAGAAACAATTCATATACCAAGAACCTATCGCGATTGCATTGAAAAACAAGACCTTCACAAGTTTGCTGGGTTCAAGCGTAATAAGACGACGTCCGCAACATTTGTACGTTCCGAGCGAAAACGGTGAAAAGCATAACCACAACGATCTGCGAATGTAATTTCTATTTCTGCTTCCAGAGATCGACTCTCAAGAACCTGGCCAGGGGTACGTCTTGTGTGACTCATTCACACTGTACTCGCATTACAAAACCTTACAGACAAATGCTTCACAAAAAGCGAAGCATTGAGCAGCAGTGACGTGAAGGCAAATGGTAATAGAAAACTGTATTCCTATACATTACCAAGTATTTAAAACTGTTTTACCACTTTTGTTTTTCTTCTTATTTTTATTTTGAGCGCATTGCCCCATGAAAACAATTTGTGTGATCCGGGAGAACAGAGAATTTCGTTTTTTCGTTTGTAAACGTCTGCCGTTTTTTTTTTTCTTCTTTTTTTATTTTTAACGATGAAAGATTTTTAACTTTTTTGTGTCTTTGGTGGTGCAATTTAATAACGTTCTGTTACTGTTAGGTTCGTTCTAAAATCAATCAATCAAGGTTTTCAGTAAATCAAAAGGAAGACGCAGTAAAATAAGGACTCAGACAACTCTTGTTTAATTATTTCCTTCGCGCTCCCTGATATGTTATCGCAGAAGGAAAGCGCCAACCAGATCGAATTCCTGATAAACGTCTGCGAGAACGCCACGCTTTATCACTTACCAATGGTCACCAAAACTTGAGAAGGTTGGTATTCACGGCTAGTGTACACGGGTGCATATTACGAGACAACGAAAACGATATAAAACTTCGATGAAACTTCAGAAACACAACCTACATTGCTGGTAACTAAAATTATTTTGCGGTTTTAACGAAAAAATATTATAATATATAAATAAATAATGGCGTAAAACATAGCTGCATTAATGTCTCGCCAATATTGACCTCATTAATACGAATTCCTGGCTGCATAGACAACATATTCGGGGACGAAATGGATAAATGTATGCAGTTTTGTGCCTTTATGTGGACGACTCATATTTTGAACGATTTTCTGGGAAATGGACGTGCTCCTATTAACGAGATATGACTGTAGATCTAATTTGTATTTTTTATTAGTTTTGGAGATGCTGAGTTGCGTCGTTAGAGCGATATTGGTGTTTTCGAAGTGAGACGAAAAGAACGAATCAGAGGAGTGTCATTGGGGATCAGAAGGGCATTGCCACACTAGTACTTCGATAAAAGACATACA